AGTAGTGTATTATAGTCTCTGAATGATTTATTTTGTTGTGTTTTGCAGCTTGTCCTTCTGTAGCAATGAGTGGCAGCACATTACCAGGTCAGGTGTACAATATGCTAACATAAAGATACAAACTGATAAATACACACAATAGTTTATCCATACACTAATATTATTTACACCATAAGGTATAGGTGTTGATTCATTTGTATTGATTTGTATTGGATTTGTATTGAGGGCCACATAAACAGATTAAAAACAGTGTTACTTATAATCATTGATATGGTAAGAGTCAGGAGGTTCCCCCGACATGATGGCAGTGGACTTTATGTTTTCCAGTTTCTCATGAACATAACAAGGTGCATTTTTTGTCTTATTAACTTCAAGTGAGAAAAGGGAGGCTGGTGAGAGAATGATTGTTTATAGCTGTTATAATGTAATTGATAAAAAAACTGGTCTCATGGATGTTATAGTTACATTAAATGACTATAGAAGACTTTAAAACAGACTTTAAATGTGTGAATCTCTATAATTGGCACAATTAGTCATTTTAATTGTGAAAATAAACAGATGGAATGTAAAAATTGTTTTAAAATTTTTTTTGAGAATTTCTTTTTTTCTTATATGGATTGTTGCCAGGTAATTTCTAACATGTCTTCCAAAATCATCAAAATATCGGCTTGAACAGTTTTTCTATCTTCTTTCTCTCTCTCTGTCTCTCTCTCTCTCTCTCTCTCTCTCTCTCTCTCTTTTACACACACACACAGGTTTTAGAATGATGGAAATGTTTGGGCTGGTGGAGCATCTGTACAGCAATGTGGCGGGTGTTTCCATGGAGCCGGGAACCTTTAACAGCTTTAGTAGCTACAGACTTGCCAGCGATGCCCTGCTGGCACAACCCACCAGGTGCACACACACACACACACATACACACACAGACAGATAGATAGATAGATAGATAAAACAAATTTCCCACAAGGTCAAAACCCTCAAATATTCCAATCCTTGTGGGGACATTTGATCCCAACCAAAATATAAACACACACAACACATTTGTCTGCCTCTGTATCTGTACATCAAATGCTATTATGATATTCTGGGCTCAGTAGACGGTACATTATGTTTATTTAGCCTTTTCATTGTCCTCTGTTCTCTGCATAATTACAAAGCTCTACAGATCGTAGTGCTGCTTTTAACATTTCCTTCTCACTTCTCACCAACTAGATATGGTGAGGGTATCACAGGTTGGTAAATAAATAAACAAACACACAAACCAATAAACAGACTGATTGATAGATAGATAGATAGATAGATAGATAGATAGATAGATAGATAGTTAGATAGATAGATAGATAGATAAAACGGGTGGTTATACAGTACACATTGGAAACACATATTTCAATCAAGGCAATTCGGTCTTGAAATCACAGGAATACTGTCGCTTTCTTGGTGTTCCTTTGAAAAATATTTTGTTTGATTTTGTTATCTTAATCTGAGAGAAGGGATTCCAGGTTTTCAAAATAGTCGACATCAGATGTTGGAATTGCAATAGAAAGAGGACAAATACTGAGTATGAAAGAACAAGTGATTAATAGAGTCTATCTGAAAGTGTACATTAATAGAATAACAAATGACATACTCATCCTCTCGCTCTCTCATGCACTCAAGAATTGACGATTTATTGACAAACCTTTTGACTTTACATGTGGTCTTGACCCACAGTCATCATCACTCACTTAATAACCAACACATACTGTATGTACTGTAGATGTACGGACATAAAGGGATAAGCCATACCTGCAAAGATGGAAGAAACATACTCGTACACACCTAACCCCAAACTGTGAAACAGAAGAGAAAAAAAGATAGATAGATGATAGACAGAAAAAGAACCAAGCAATCTATACGCACACACACTTATCTTTTGCTTGTGTTTGACCGCTGTGTTAACTTTTTGATTATAGGTTCATCCACCCTGAGGGTTTGCCCTCTGATTACACAATCATCGTGGTGTTCCGCCTGCTGCCCCAAACCCCTGAGGAACCCTTTGCATTATGGGAAATTCTCAACAGTGGAAATGAACCCTTAGTGGGCGTCATCCTAGACAGTGAGTAGAGTGTACAATTACCACTCTACCTCATTTTAAAAGTGTGTGTTTGTGTGTGTGTGTGTGTAGAGCATGTTATTAAGTTTTCTCTTGTGTTCCATTTCTTTGCTGTCTGTGTGCAGATGCAGGGAAAACGCTGACATTCTTCAATAACGACTATAGAGGTGATTTTCAGACTGTAACATTTGAGGGTCCTGAGATTAAGAAACTCTTCTATGGCAGTTTCCACAAGGTGAGTATTCACAAACTCCAATACGCTCAGTTTATCAAACTGTCAAAAATAAGGAGACACAAATAGCATTAGATGTGCAAAGCAGAGCTGCGCTGCTCTAGGAGGCACTTCACTTAAATTCAACTCTGAGCCAGTTTACTCTGAACCTTTTTAAAAAAAAATGAGCCCTCATACAGTCAGGTCCATAAATATTGGGACATCGACACAATTCTAACATTTTTGGCTCTATACACCACCACAATGCATTTCAAATGAAACGAACAAGATGTGCTTTAACTGCAGACTGTCAGCTTTAATTTGAGGGTATTTACATCCAAATCAGGTGAACGGTGTAGGAATTACAACAGTTTGCATATGTGCCTCCCACTTGTTAAGGGACCAAAAGTAATGGGACACAATAATAATCATAAATCAAACTTTCACTTTTTTAATACTTGGTTGCAAATCCTTTGCAGTCAATTACAGCCTGAAGTCTGGAACGCATAGACATCACCAGACGCTGGGTTTCATCCCTGGTGATGCTCTGCCAGGCCTCTACTGCAACCAACTCTTTGGTTGCTTTTGCAGTATGCTTTGGGTCATTGTCCATCTGCACCGTGAAGCGCCGTCCAATGAGTTCTGAAGCATTTGGCTGAATATGAGCAGATAATATTGCCCGAAACACTTCAGAATTCATCCTGCTGCTTTTGTCAGCAGTCACATCATCAATAAATACAAGAGAACCAGTTCCATTGGCAGCCATAC